TTGTTCTCCAAGTACCCCAACAAAACCTCAGCTACTATGGACTCCATAACCTTGGAGATCACAGGAAGTAGGGTTATCGGGCGATAGTTTGCTGGTTCAGCACGGCTACCACTTTTGTAGATAGGCGTGAAGATTCCGTGCTTCCACATCGTGGGGACGTGCTTCTCGTTCAGACATCGTTGAAAGAATATTGCTGCCAAACTCATGGCAACAACTTTCAACGCCTTCGGGCGTATGCCGTCCGCACCCGGGGAGCTGAACTCGTGCAGAGACATCAGCCTCTTCAGTACAGCTGCGGAGGTGAATGATATGTGATTTAGCCCTCATGGTGGCGTCATCTGCTTAGGCAAGATGTATGATGATTGCACGCTTTGGAAGGTACGGTCAAATTGTTGTCCAAGAAAGTTGGCCGCCTCTTGTGCGGTTTGGGCTAACCCGCATGCTGTGTGCAGCAGCTTAACACGGCCAAATTGTTTACGTGTCTATATAGCAGTTTGGGATTGGAGCAAAACGTTTCCACTAGACCTTGTTGGTTCTTTAGTTTATCCTCCCGGACGAGTTTGACACAGTGGTTCCTTTGTATTGTGTAGACATCCCAGGTATGGTCGTTCGGGGAGGCTATGTAGGTGTGCCATGCCAAGTCCCTTAATGCCATGCATTTACGTGTCCTGCTCCTTACGAAAGACTTCATTCTTTTAGGCCAGCAGAGTTTGGTTTCAGGTGTCTGCCACCAGCTTGGTAAATATGTTGGCGAATTCTCCGCACGCCACCTCTGGGGTTAATTCGGCTAAGAACGATCAGCTGGTTGCATCAATGAGGTCGGACAGGTCTTCGTAGTTGGTTACGACACGATATTCCTCGGTATGCTCTATTGGCTAATCCGCGTAGCACATGTAGTGAAACACTAGTGTCGCATGATCACTGCGGCCCAAAGGAGTATCGGTTATCGCTCTCTCGACCATCAGTTCTTCATTGGTGAATATTCGGTCAAATATGGATGGCTTATCAGTTCCCCTGAACCTGGTGGGTGTAGTGACGTGGCCAAAAAGCGGAAAGTCTGAAACCAGATCTTGCAAATCTGCTTTGAATTGCTCTCCTGGTGTGGCCTTGGATTTGGGAACATGTAAGTTGAAGTCATCGGTGACTAGAAGGTGACTGTACTTCCTGTTTATTACCTGCCTCAAAGCAGCCATCAAATTGCAGACCATCTCAGGAGTAGACGATGGTGGGCGGTAAACAACAACCAATAGGTCAAGATCGTTCCCTCTCAGCCGGAAATTACACCAAATGGCGTCAAGTATGTCGGTTTCCGAATCGTTTATGGGTTCACATTGCATGTTGTTACTCAAGTAGAGGGTTACCCCACCACCTTTGCTGGTTCGATCCTTCCGGACAACGGACATGCCCGTTAGCTCGGATCAGCATCCGTTATCTCGCAGCGCAGCCATGTTTCGGTGACAGCAATAAGGTCCCAAACTGTAGACGCGTGTCGAAGTCTTAATTCGGCTAATTTGCTGAGTAGACCTTGGGCATTTGTGTACATGCATGAGAGCTTCTCGGAGACCAAAAGTGCGTTAGATTGGATGGATGAAGCAAGTGAGTTAACGCCGACCAGAGAGAGTTGATAGCTTGCGCAGCTGGATCGTCGACGATATCGATATATAGGTCAGCTCGGTAATAGAAGAGCCCCCCGACTCTTCTGCTGTGTCAATCGTTCCGTAGGAGAGTCATGCAGGACTGAGCTAACTAGGCATCGGTTATCTTAGTCTAGAGCGGCGGAACCCAGTGACTATTCGTGAACTGGAACCACAACAAAAAGACAGTTGCGAATTACCAACGAGCTCAATGGATGAGACGAGACAAGGATCTGCGAGCATTGCGGATCGAGCTGACAACGGATCACGGGCGGCATCTGGTAACGAGCCCGGGCCCACAATAACGGAGGAGGTATTTGTCGAGAAGGCTATAAATCAGACGAACACGCCGCTAGCGAAGCCCATAGCAGTGAACACGGGCCGAGTGATGTTGCCGCTGGAGAGCGAATCGCGAGCTTTCTAACTACTCATGGCCAGCCAGAATCGGATATAGCGAAGCGGAGATATGGGATGGAAACATGCAGGGCTTGTTTCGAAGCGCAATCTTGTAGGCACCTGGAATGGCCCGTCACACAAATCTTCATCCGCATTGAGTCGTGGGAAGGAAACATGGTCCAAATTTGTACGGGTTTGTAAGTTTTCAGTTGTATGTTCTCGTAGCAATACATGCTCTGTCCCCACACCCCCCGTGTCGTTTTCGCTACATTAATATTTAGCCATGTTTAATTTGTTATGAGGATATTCCAAGGAGCGGAAACCTTACCAGTAAGCAAATCAGAAACTTTACTGAGGAAACCCTGTGCGTTGGTATACAAACAAGTGAGGACCTCTGAGATTAGCAGTGTATTTATAAATGTAGCTTACGGGTGCAGAGTAGTGCCGAGCATTGTGTGGTCGGCGGTCGGTTGTCTTTTTATTGAACCGTAATCGCAAACCCCGGGCAATTCCAGATTGGCGTGTAGAGTTCTCGGCGTCAGTAGATGGCTGCAAAACTAAACATCCACCAATTGACGGAGTGTTTTGTCTGTATCCCAATTCTGAGCGATATACTGACTGTCACACATGAGATCCGCATGTCCAGCGTCACCTTGTCGATTTGTGGCCCTGCGTTCATCGAATTTAAGCGTATTTTGAATGGCAGCATTTTGAGCTCAGAAATGTTCGCGGGATATAGTTCTCAAAAAGAACCACACTGCTTGCTCGATGCAGGTTACGAAGGTATCCATAAGTTAATTTCACACCTTTTTAGCACACTATGTCAACATAACTTGGTGCTTACCAACCGAAATTTCTAAGAAGCAAAGTAAACCAACAGTGAAAATACGGTTTCCGATACCCCGGTGAAAATGCAACTGCACTGGTGACCTCTCTTGGATTACCGATCGAGCGGTTGTCACAACATTGTCACGCTTTGTGAGTGGGCCAATATCGCCTTCTAAATCATTTTCGTGATGTGCCAATCAACAAACATGGTACCAAGCATGAACTGGTGAGTAGCTTTGAGACTAGATCAGGAGCTATGATGAAATCTCTCTTACGCAAAATGACTACGGTATCAAATGCATTGAAACTGTTTATCTCACAAGATGAGGTTAGTGGTAGCCTTTTTATCTACGCTGTATGGTTACTTGATGTTACATACACCATACTACTTCACCGCAGTCGGCCCACGCCGACTTACCTCTAATCTAGATGTTTTAACCCGCATGAAATGTATTCCAATTTATTTGATTTGCTCAGTTCGCCTGTTCTGCCTAATTTTCGTGTCCACTTTGCGTGCTTATATTCTTTCAAATTCCATGTTGCTTGCTTGATATCCCCGATGTCGCTACGCTTGATGTGAATGTTGACAAGTTGCCTACCCGTCTAGCACTCTCCACATTGATTGCTGGCTCCAGGAGTCTGAATCGTTGCAGCTGGGCAGTGCACGGTTCTGGTGGCCGTGTTAGGCTCAATGAGTGGTTTCATGCAATCAGTGTAGAGCGGACTACGGTGCAGCTATCGCCTTGTGTACGATGCACACTTAGGCATGAATGCCTCGGCTCTGCTTGTTGAAGGGGTGTGGGCCGACTCCCTTGATGAAACTTGGATCCCATCCATATGCCTCCCGGTCTTATTCGTTCGGGTTAACCCTGGAGATGGGGTGTGTGGATGATGCAGCGCAAGCCACCCATGTCTCCCTGTAGGCACAGACGTCCAGTGGCTTTCGCCGTGCAGGCCACAATGACAAGCAAACCTGGAAATGAATGTCGCCAACCATGATTGGTGTAATGTTTCCACCTGCTAAAGAAGCCGGTGAGAAAAGAAATTCCTTGATGAATACGTCTCAAATGGTGAATCATTAGGAAGGAAAAAGAGTCTCAACCAAACACGGACTGTGCATTTATCTCAGTCTTGTTGCGGTGTTTTTCTAGGATTACGCAATAAAGAGTGCACACGTAGTGACATCTTCAGGGCTAAAACTGTACTATGATTCGAAAGTCTTTCCAAAAGTTTACCGTATGGTTGTTTGGCCAATTCAAGTCAACGGTTTTCCCAAACATAACATTTTACTCCAACTTTCTAAAAACGTTTCATAAAGTAGTTTAGTATGGAGAGTTGAAAGTTTTTAACTCAGAAATAGTTAATTACAAGCTTTAACCGGTGTATGGCTAATTCATATCATGAGTTTACAGTGAAGGTTACTGCATGATATTGGGAGTCTGACGACGGGAAGTCGAATGTTACGATTTTCAAATGCATCAATACGCGGGGCGTTGTTAACAGAAGAAGTAACAGGGAGAGATAGGTGTAGTTTCACTTTTGAGATGTACCCAAATTTTACTCCTCCAAGCAAATGAGAAGAGAACACCCAACTGCGTCTTCCCTCCAGGAGTATGATGTTTGAGTTTGGGCGGTATTACGGCTGACTTGCTTGCTAACCTTGCCCATGCCTAGCTCTTTTTCAATCATTAAATAATGACATGTTCACTAGTACCCGAGCAATACAAGTTGCCCAGAACTATCCGGTTTTCCTCAGCCAAATACATTCGTGGAAAGTTCAAGTCTTTTCTGGCGAGTACAACATGTTCTCATTAAGATTTTTGCGTAACCTTGTATTACGATGTATGTCGAACTGAAGGTTGGTGATAATTCAGTTGCCAACCGCTCGAAAACCGATGATAAAGGATTTTTAACTATCAACAAATATGATATTATTTGGTGGCAGATAACTTGTCCAATATGGTCAAGAAAACTAAGTACCATTATATAATTCGATGTTTTGATGGAAGAAGAATCTCAGAGAACTTCAGCAAATCAGCCGTTGGTTCACTCGAACTAGCTATTTTTAAATTAAAGATGATCATAACATTGATAAAGTGAACTTTGTCACTAACTTTCTTTTACTCTTGATGAATCAACTAGGCACAAGCAATGGAAATGCTGGAGATGCCGAAAAAGCATCAGTCGAGGACAACGTCGACTCACCGACTCCCAATGATGAGACGTCAAATGAGCCAAATGCTGCGGTGGGAAGTGTCCAAGGTGAAGATGATTCCGTCGAAAATAGAGCGGAGGGATCGAATGAGGGCAATCAGGATTCACCAACTGAGGCACAGGATCGGGAGGATGAACCAGGAGACAGCAACGAGGACGATGAGCAAGAAAAGAGGCAACTGGAAGGGCCTGAACAACAGGATACTGATGACAGCTTGGCTACAGACGACGCTCAGCTGAAGACTGCAAATGCGATGGAGATGATAACAACTGAGCCGTCACTCGAGGATAGCCAATCAATAACTGAGACCATGTCGGACCATACGAATAGTTCTGAGAGTACAAGCAGCTCGAGCTCTACAGAAGAACGTGAGAAGCAGACAGGCGAGGCCAAGGAGGACGATGATCAAGAAAAGCGGCAATTGGAAGATGCTGAGCAACAGGATACCGATGACGGCTTGGCTACAGACGACGCTCAGTTGAAGACTGCAAATGCGATGGAGACGACAGAAACTGGGCCTTCGCTCGAGGATAGGCAATCAACGACTGGGACCATTTCAGACCAGTTAAATAGCACCGAGAGTACAAGCAACTCGAGCTCTACAGAGGAAAGTGGGCAGCAGACAAGCGCAACGAACGCATTAGGAGATGAGGTGACTGTCAGTAAAACTTATGACAAAGAACAGAATAAAACCAAGGATGAAAATGCGACGCTGTTGGAGGGTGTAATCGGGTCCAATCATACACAGAAGGTAAAGGAGGCGTTGCTGGTACTCAAACCCACGGATTCCACATCAACAAACCTGTCTGAGGAAACAACAACCTTTAACCCAGTTGAAAAGGTAAATGCTCAGGAAGAGGAAAGTAACGTGACCACTGTGGAATCTGGAGATGATGAATACACCAATGCGCCAAATACAACCACAACTTCAGCAAAGCTTCTCTTAAGAGACTCCGGTGAACAAACGGCGACACATGCAGTTGGAATTGAATCAGATCAAGCAGAAGTAAACGGATCGTCAACTAATACGATGCGAGTTACGTCGACTATTCAACATGAAATCTTGAACGGTAGCTCAGTTGGACAAACGGCTTCACCCAGTTCCTCGAAAGTATCGCATACCTCCGAGCCCCCGAGAAGGGGAACCAGTACATCCTCCCCAGTCACTGTATCGAAAGACCGAGAAGTAGACGCAGTTCACGCTAGTTTGCCGATGACCGAAGTAGACGAACAAACCATAGACTCAAGTTTAGCGAATAACATCGAAACAACCGATGCGGAAATACCAGTAATGAACGCCTTCTCATTCGATCTGCCTATGTTCAATGAAAGTTTACATGGAGATCTTTTGCTGAATGACACAGAATGGGCAAAGGACCTGGCAGCAGCGGCGCATCCAGATGATGAGAATTTGATCCACGATCCTTGTACATTTATCAGCGAGAACATTCACAGCTTTGTGGGGTTGAATGTGTCTAAGGAACAGGTGCAAAACACCCTGCCAACGTTTCGGTTCCTTTTGGAATCGAGTACTGAGGATTTAGCAACTATTAAAGATATGGTAAGTCCAACAACAGTTGTATTTTATGGTTCACTACAAAATCCAACTAATAGGGGAAATAACTTTGCAACTCTGTTTAATGGTGACACTAAAGAGCTGTGGCGTAATTGAGTATGAATAACATATGGTTTGTTAGCGGGCAACTCATCTTGCAGTTAGTGATATCCGACCGCACTTTGATATGCTGCTAAACCAGTCCAATCCAGCTAGAATAAATGAGCATATGATTTCAAATTTTTTATACATTTAGATTGGGATCGGAATCTGCCAAATGAGTGAAAGCCACCAGCAGTAGCAGTTACCCCCGCTGATGTATCGCTGATAATCATCCGTCGCGTTACACGCTGACAGTTAATAACGAGACCAGGATAGCGATTAAGATCTGCTATTCGTAAAGCACAAACGTTTGTAAACGGTACAGAAATTTGAGACAGTATCCAATTGCGACGGCTTTTCACGGGTTTAAGTGCACTGGTCAACACACGCCATGAGTCAGTTGTGCTCAGTCTAGCACTCGTCTGCTATGCTTAGGGGATCAGTTCGTACTTGGCTCGTGCGTGACCGCGCCAGTTTTCCCCTGTTCGTTTGGGTCGCGCGATTACTGATGACTTATTGCTAGATGGAGTTAGCAAGTAGTGGTATCTAGGTACAGCTGCAGCTGAAATCACCGAGATGTACTGGTCAGATGTATTGGCGACAGTTTCTGATATTTCATATCGGCAAAGCGTTTGTCAAGGAAATTTTTGTACTCTGACACCGGCTTTGCTTCGACTACTTGCAGCGGCAAGTTGTTCCATACATTAACTACTGTATATTACTGAACATAATTCGATAATGTTTTGGACGATTCTCCTTTTCCGTAGTGGGGTTCCGGCTTATACAAAGGTTATAAGCCCGGTAGCCAAAGGGGTAGAGGCTTCGGCTACTATTCAAATGGTCGCGGGTTCGAGGCCTGTTGTCTCCACCGGATGCGATGAAATTACATCAAAATGCGTCGTGGTTGTGTAGCACTTTTGGGCGGGAACACCCAATTTCCATCTGCTTTGAGTACGGTCCCAGTGATCGCAGTGACTTAGATCCACTTCAATGTGACTCAGGGTCCCTTGCATTGAGATTGCGCGTCGCAATCCAATCACACAACGTGTAGTCCAAACTTTTCCCTCAAAGGTTATAGGCGATCAGAAAAAAGTCATATGCAACATCCACCAAGCAATGCACTGCACAGCTCTGCGCTTTTCTCCCATTACCACCACCCGCTGGTAACAGACGGTATTGCAGATGGGAATTTTAAGTGCCTATAACTGGACACGTTACTATTGTGTCGAAAAATCTCGGTATATTGCACATCTGACGTTCGTAATTGATGGCAGTAACAAATCCAAAGGCCTTAAACATTATGTTATGCCAGATGATCGGGTGCCTTAAAAGTACAACGTCTTCCCACACTGCTGAGAGTGAACTTTACTCGCACCCACTACTCAACTGTGGATCATATGCATGAGACACCCGACTATTCGATGCGGCCTGTCTGATACCCTCTCACCTTACCATATACTGTCGGCTGTCTTACCTGTTTCATGTGATTTGACCTCGAGTCAATACACTATCCGGTGCGGTGAAAATATCTTCTAACGGCCCTACGCCCCACTAATCGCGAGTATAATCTTACGGTCACCACAGCTGGCCGATAATGACAGGTTTCACTTGAACTTACGCAAGTGAGAGCAAATAGTGATGACATAGAAACCGGGGAGAAACAAGTTCCTTTCTCTTTTACTGGTTTTTTATGGGTCGGCTGATGTGGACTTACAACTTCGGACAAATTTGAGGTTGCGAAGTCATACCGTCCGTTTATATATGGGAGGGATTATATTCGGTAATATACGGTAGTCTCCATTTAAAACAGTTGTTGGGCGACCCGCTTCAAATTCGAGCTTTTAGTGGTGTCCCCACGTGTCGTTTAGTGCACACATAGATTGCAACGTCCAGTACATGTAACCATCAAGATGTAATACCAGGTGCATCATGATGCGATCAATTCACGCTAGGGCAATAAGACGGGGTGTCAAGTGCTATCCTCTTACATCGGTCTTCGTACGGTAAGCCGCGTAAATTAGAGATGAGTCCAGTGACCGTATGCTGCAACCGCTCAATGATTTGTACCTCGCCTCGGTGATAACATAGTAAGCACGTGAGCCGTACTCTAGCATTGGTCGGTTGATTGAGACGTAGAGACAAGTGGCAATCCCTTCGGACCAAGTGCTGAGGCTGCGCCTGAGTGTGGGTGACACCAGTTTCCTTTTTCCTTTTGCCTCCAGTTACTCCGTGAACCAGCAACCAGCGCATCCCGTATCACCAGTCTGATTTTGTTGGTGAAAACGCGCTGTAGGTTCTTGGCTGTACGAACCAATTCAATTCCATTTTGTCCATGCCCAAGGGGTCTTTCTCTCACATAAGACTGAACCAATACGGCTCCGCCTCTCTGGCCCACGCAATCGTCGCCAGTAGGGGTCGGTAGCGACTAACTGACCGCCTGTCTGCCTGCGCTTTAATTGTTACATTCACATAACACACACATAACATCAAAGTTGAGTGCTCGGATCCGGGGTGCAGTGTTTCATGCTAAGCGCCTGAACTACTGCCATAGGGAAGCCATAAATAGGATACCACCAGTACACCAGTACTTTGTACCGATGAGTTGGTGTCATAACATCACATGCATTTATATGCCTGATGTGATGATGCATGAGCACCGAAACCTTTGCATGAGGAAAGGTTCGAAGTAGGGTCTTAGAAGTCTCAAGACAAACAATACCAAGGTGTGGTGAACACTTCATGCCTCCATGGTTTCGGTTCCTTTATGAATTGATTACCTAGGATTGGATAAGCATTAAAGATCTGGTATCTCCTAAACCGTTATTTTGTTAACTAACTGCTGAATCTAACGGATGTGTGGACGATGATTTCGTTCGTGCACATAAAGGTGGGGACAGCCAGTTGAATCAACTTAAGAAGACTGGTAGTGGGTTACAAAGTTGTGACGATGATACGGTGTCCTACAAGTGTCAACAGGTAGTAGTCACTCTCCAGCCAATGCGTAAACTTCCGAACGGTTTTCATAAACACACTTCGAGTTACTGCACCGTTGAATTGAAACAGCATACACTATCACCAAAACGTGAAGTTCGGGCTTGCGATAAGATATGGGGATGAAACTAAAAACGGTGCTGACGTAGTGGTCGGTCCTTGTCGTCACCCGGTTGCTCCAGAGTGCGCGACATTTTGTCATACTGATTGTGTAGCTGGTACCAGATGTGTGTGAGTCAGGAACTGAAGAACGAAATGCTTCAATGCAAAATTTACTGGCCCACAAGAGTTATAAGTGGGAGTAAACATGATAGATGGTTTAGATGTGCCACACTTAACATTTGTTTCGTTCATATCTTCGGGATTTCAATTGTTGCCTTCCACAGTCATTTGATTTATGAATAACGGCAGTATATTGGATTCTTTACCGTCTGTGCCTAACTGGAAACTCACCAGACTATCCAGATGTTAATCAGGGATGCTTCAAAATAACTGCTGTCAGTGGATAATTTCCTGAAAAATCTTCACTTATTTAGACTAGTCTTACCACCGAAGGAACAAGGGTCCGTGCTGGATGCTGGAAGAATAATAGCAATCGAAGACATTGATTGAAATGTATGGTGCTCTGACGATCTGTTTGAGGGATAGGACAACTGCTTAGTTAAACATACATGGCGGAGTAAAGATTAGGTTCCCCTGATTTGATTAAGATCTCTAAGTAAATAAGTATAGATTTCTACAGGGCGTGGGACTAAAAAAGTATCGAAAGACTTAAATTTAAGGCAGGCGAACCTATGTCTTCATCAGACCTACGAAACTGCGCCTAGGCAGGCTGTGTGTAAAAGTAATACGGGCCGGTTCTCTGGGTTCCTTTTTGAATGGATGCAGTGTATCGTTTTTAGTTAGAGAAAGCGTGGAAGCTGCGCATGCTTCTGCATGGTAGAGGTTACAATCTGTTGCGATCAAGGCATTTCGAACATTTGAGTTAAACCATTTCTGCTGTGTCGGATACGGCTGTGTATTGCCTAGAAAGTTTAATTCCAACGGAAACGAATGGATAAATCCTACGGTCAATAAAGGGAGCAGATTAAGTACGAAGTTAAACTACTTGCACAACCAAAGATTAACTGGGGTAGAAATCAAAGGTTTCTGCAATGGAAGTCTTAGGCCACAGTAGAATTATAATATGTAAAAATTGTTTTCGTAAACAAAACTCCTGGTTGATGTGCCGGATATAGATACCTTCAGCAATAGGTAGATGTTTCTGGAATCCGCGCGAGAAGCAATCATTAATAATAGGGTAGTTGACACTGAAGTCGTTTTCCGAGCCAGATTGACTACACTCTGATAGCTGCGAGTAAGATCCGCTAATTTATGCCCCAGTTTAACTTTGGCTGTGAAGGTGATCTGCTTTTGTACTTAATCTGCTATCTTCAGTGACGGCAAGATAAACCCTTGTTCAATCTGAGGCAGCGTGTAATAACACCACCATAGGGCTTCAGTTACATCTCGGTGCTCCCAAGGACCATAATAAGCTTCAGCCCGTAGCACGTGTGTTTCGGACAGTGTGGTAGTTAGTGATCCAAACGAAAGACAGGTAGACATGAGTTATCCATTGCAAGTACGAACATCGTTACGTTAAACTAAGTAGGTTACACAGAGGCGGGGTTAATGCAGGAGGCCTGCACCAGCAACTAACAGACTCTAAATGAGCAGGGATCTCGCAAGGCATTTCTAACGATGTCCCCCTTTAGACGCAGGCTGTATGTAGCCATCAAATGACGTAACAGGGGCCGTTCTCATAGGTGCGCGGTGTCCCATAGGGAAGGCAAATAGGAGCTTACGGCGTTTTCGACTGGACCAACAACTTCGGTCATCCTTAAAAGTTTAGTTTAGCTAACCAACCAAGGTAC